TTCATTATATGACTTTTTATATCATTTTTGTTGTAAAAATCTGATATAATTTGCATTGTATGACCTATCTTTATTATATATTTTTTTATTATGTAATTCAATATAATTTGTACTACATAACCTTCTTTTATTACAATTATGAACTCTAAAGGAATTATCATTTTAACCTCAAAAAAGAAATTAATTAATTTTTATTGTAGTACTCAGTATAAGTTTAAATTATGATAAGTAAATCAAATATATAATAAATAGTGAAGTTTTTTTTGAAAAAATTCTTCCATTTTAGCATAAATCACCTCACTTCCTTACAATTTTATGATACAACAATCGGAAGCATTCTTCAGCATCCCCTTTCTTTTACTGTTGAAGTCAAAATTGTACTAGTTACTAGAATCATAGCAGTAAAAAAAAAATTGTTTGCGGAACACTGGAAAGTGGAAACAGTGTGGTTTATCATGACATCTGGGTCCATGATGGGTTGGGACATTTCAGCCCTTTTATTAAATGGGCCCAACCCTAATGAAATGACCCTATTGATTACAAATATCTAGACTTTCGTTACTTTTTTTTTTTTTATATCTTACCTAATAAAAAGTAATTTTTTATTATTTATTTTATCTTTTTATATATTATGTAATTTTAATTAAATTTTTTATTTTTAATAAAAAATATTAACATTAAATTATTTAAATTATTCACAGCTTTAATTATAATTATGGGAACAGGTGTTGACTGTTGACCTTAGAGAAGAAGAGGCTTACGGTATACTCCCACTGTTCTTTTTTAATTGCCGCTTTGATATTTTTTTTAACATAATAACACAACTTTATGTAATATTTTTAGAGTACCCTGTTCTGTAATTTTATATAATTTGATTTGTACATTAATTTTTTTAATATATTTTTATACCATACTCTTGACAATACTGAGTGCTATAGCTAAAAAACAAAGGAATTGTGCTAATTACAAGGAAGAAAAAAAAGTGAGAAATTATGGGATTTGACATGTGAAAATTTAAATGTTTCTTCCAATTTCCTTCCTCACGTGCAGAATTATGTCCAAGGCAGGTATGATCTTTTCAATTCTTTGTCACGTGAGTTTATATGTGTAGGCCATATCAAGTATGACCTTTGGAAATTGGTTACACGGGTTAAATAATACCAGATAAGCAATGAATTGTTAATTTAGGGGAAAATAATTTGACTCTTTTAAAATAAAAATTTGAATTTAAGTTTTATGAATGAAAAAATATCAAGTTTTATAAATAAAAAAATAAATGTTAAGAGGGTTTCTCCTTTATAGAATTTATTACATTAAAATAATTTTTTTTTAAATATCTGACGTGATTTGATTTCAAAATAATTGAAAATTAATGTGATTATCCAATATTAAGAAGTTAATAAAAAATAAAAAAACAGATAAAGATTGAGACATATGGACTTTAACGTAAAGTTAAAATTCAATCGGTAATTTTCAAACCACATGCATGTTTATATTTTATTTTTCCAATAAAAAATTTTCCGACCTAAGATGACTTTGGAAAATTGAAAAAGGAAGCAACTGATGTTGTGTGAGGAGTTGGGTCTAATCCCAAATTCGCTTTTAAAATTAGACAATAAGTAGTGATTATAATCATTTAACGTCAAGACTGTCTTATTATTACTACCACTATACTACAGTGTTGATTGTTGAATAGAAATTAAGCCTCTCTTAACCCATCTTCTAAAGATATCCACACAATGCTGAAAATTAAGATCCATGTGTCTTTTCTGCATATGTTATAATATTGGGAATTCACTAATTCGGGGATTTTTCATAGCAAGTGGCTGCCTTTGTCTAGCAAGAACATATATTTATAATTATTAATATAGCCTCTGCAGAGAGCTAAGTTCTACAACAATTTGGATTTCTATAACCTAACTGCAGGCAGTGTCTTTAACATTCAAAAATCAGAATTAACATTCTTAACAGATTAATGTGTTATTATTACTTTTCATTTATTACATGGGTGCTCAAACCTTTGGTTATTTCATGAATATATAAGTTTTTTTTTTTTTTGGATAATTGGGTGTTATCAAGTCAATTTTAACACACATCAAGACTAATTTCCCCAACAACAATTTTAGAGTGCATTTTCTATATTTTTATAATACATTTTAAAAAATTAATGTTTTTGATTGTTGATTCTAAGATTAAATATTAAACTTGATTTATAAAATAACTCTTTCTTTTTACGAATAAATTGAAGCCTTTGGGGTTTATGCATATATAGAATTACGTACAAGGACGTCACAATGTTGAGGTTGATGCTAAGCCTAACACACACATACACAAATAAACCAATTCAGATCCCATAGAATTGAAGGATGAATGAGGACGGGAATCATCCATCTTGCTAGTCACACAAAGAAATTGGGCCTTTTAAAGACAGGTTTGGGCTGGGCTCAAACCTTAGAGAAATTTTCCAAGTCTAAGTTTAAGCAAAAGAGTACAAACTACAAAGTCTAAGTTTAGCTCGAGGTATATAACATATATGAACCTTATAAAAACTCAAAATAATCTTATATAATCAAAAGTATATCTAAT